GGGTGGGGGGCTCCGGGGATTGGCCGCCTGCTGTCGTGAAGGGATAAGGATCCGGTTGACGCCAGCATCGTCGTTGCTAACAGCCGCGGGTCGCCTCCCGGGCGCCTCTGCGGGGTGGTGCTGGCCCGGCTTCGCTCGGAAGGCTCACACTATGCTGTTACAGCGTCCTATGTGAAATTGCCAGAAATTACCCTCAGAGGTGGCTCTGTGGCACCGTGGGTCCATCCTGGGCTTTGCACGTTAGAAAGACTGTAGTAGTAGCAGTAGTCAAAACCTTATGGGTTACGTCAGAATGCCAAAAAAATGTAGAGGTAATGAGCACAATAGCATAAAATAATACCTCTTATGGAATAATTAGGGAGGTAAAAGAATAAATGCCATAATATACTTCAAGTTGTGTCATGTTTTAGTGAATCCTATAAACTCTTTTGTAAATCAAAATGAGGAAGATTTGGAAACCAGAGAGAAGACGGAAATAATGACAGGGGTGTTTTATTTGAGACCTGGAAAAGAACTTGGGCGAAGTCTTTCCAAAACTGAGTGAGTACAGTAGTGGGGGCTTATCTGTCGTGTCAGCCTCCATATAGGAGGGCTGGGATCTAAGAAAAAACTCACTTTCAAAAACCAAATATGCAGGCAGATAAAGCTGGGGCTTAAATCGTGGTTGACATCGTGTAGACTTTTTCCCAAACCTAGAGAGCTGCCTCTCTCTATAGGCACTGCAGGTGACTGATCTGAACACATGTGAACCCCGTGGGCCTGACCTGTTCAGTCCTTCTCTAGTGCACAGGACCTACGCCACAAAAGCCGGCTCTGTATAGACTCCAGCTCTGTAATAGAGGTCTGTCTTTATACAAGAATAAGAAACACCATTTTTTTCTTTTTCAAGGCTGTAGGGTGAGTTTGAAGCAGGTAGTAGATGTGGAGAAACTAGTTTGCCTTTTCCTTTGGAAAACTGTTGCTCGTGGTTGTCTTGTGTGAGAGATAAGGATCCATAGTTTAAGAAGATGTGATGTTCTGGATTGTAGAATGTGTGTGAAAGTGTGGGCTTTGGAAAAGGTATGGTGGTAGTGAGTAGACACTTTATGAAGAGCAGCATATTGTTAAGACAGGTTCTATATGCTTAACCGCTAATCCCCCAGGGTGCCTTTGCAGCCTGCTTTCCTTAACACTTCTGTTTGTAATAGCAGACACAAGGCCCAAGTCATCTTAACCAGGTACCTAAGGGAATCAAATCTCAGGTATCTACTTAAAAACAGTTCCAGATCCACATCCTTGATCTGTTGGACAGGCTTGCTAGATACGGTTATTCCTCTCTTAATATCCTTGAGTTATTTGCAAACTGGGCTTATTTTTCATTTTATGTCAATAGAAGGTATCTCTGGAGGGGAAAATGTGATCCCAAAAGATCCATGTCTCCTAAGATCCATACAAAAAATGAAAGTAAAGATGGTTAGGAATTTGGATTGTTCCTGTTTGAAATTTGAATCTTTCTAGTCTTATACTCGGACCCCTTCAGTATATTATTTAGTTGTCTACTTTTATTTGTAACTACTAGGTTTCTGCAGTCTTCTGCAATAAGTCTGAAGACTTATTTATCTCCACTGTACTATCTAGTGTGTGTGATTCTGCTTAAACTAGGTCACAGTGATTGAGGGTGGTTGCACTGCCTCAAGCACGCAGGCCTGATTAGTAATTCATAAATTCTGCTAGTGGGCACTACAGCTGAACCACAGCTATATTTAATGTTCAGTCTTTCAGCACCTTAATTCATGCTGCATCACTGGCTAGGTACATCTCCTGGAACTGCATTAGGGCAGTGCCTTGTTCTGTGCCCAGCCTGGTATTGTACTTGTATATTCTTTTGGAGAGGTGGAAACTCGAACTGGAGCTGAGAACTGAATGACTTGCTCCTGGAGCCTAAACATGGCTACTAGGATCTTTCCCTGCTGTATCTATATAATGAACACAGTGTATGTACTGTTTGAATACAGAGAGGCAGTAAGGCGGATTGTATCAAATTTCTGTGTTGGCAGGCGGAGTTTGGCTCGGTAACTCTTGTGTCAATATAAAACTATTGCACTACTGTGCGCATACAGGAAGTCTTCGTCTGGTAAGAGGTACTGATGTGAGATTTAGTTCAGTGAGAGCCCGAGTTGCCTGAACACTGAGGTTTTATATTTAACAGGTGACTCTTTAACACTCTTCAGACCAAACCAAATACTCATCAAAGAAATCCTATTTTGGATTCTTACTTTATCCCTTATACCGAAGACTAAAAAGAAAACAAATGGTCACAGGGAACTTTAAACAGGTTTAAGATTCACAGTTCCCAACTTATCCTATGTATAGGTTAGAACCATCTTTAAATATTTGACATGAGGTGATATGCAGTTGGATTCCATTTGGTAGACTTGGCAGTGTGAATTTCCTGATGGAATGACACCATCGACATCAACACCAGCGAATTATCGATAAAGCCTCCTCTGACCCGTTTCGGAGCAAAGTTAAGAGATCATAGATCATTGCATGATCTTTAGCAGTTACATGTAAATGTGTAACTGCTCTGTGTATAAATGCTAAAACATATCAGCATAATTTTGAAAAGGGCAAGATAGGGTTGTGTTTAGGGCAGTAAATAGCTGTGTTGGAACAAAGTTCATCTTTTTTTTTTTTTTTCTGCTTGGCTTGTTTGGCTTGAAACCCTTGTAGAAGCATTACTTTGTCTTTTGTTGCTCTCAGTCTTTCTCACTAGTTAAATTTAAACTGGAAAATTCTGCCTTAACAAAACCTTCGCTTAAGAACAAAACTTTAATTGTTCAGCTTCTGCTAGAAGAGAAAGGAAGAGGTTAGCTACAGGATTTGCTTTTAATAGTACATCTCAAGAAGAACAGGAGCACTAAGAAAAAAAACGTAGCTTATTTTTACGTACTTTACTTAGTACATTGTAAAGTGTCCATCGAGGAGAATGAGTAACAGACTGAAGAACAAAAGAAAGAGCAAGGTAAGTTTTAAAATGATAAGGTGACTTGCAGTGATTTAGGTGAAAAAATAAATTGCTATATATTTGGGGAGGGAAAGTTGGCAAGGATAGCCTATGGGAAGGAAGAGGGAAGAAAACTGTGTCAAATAGGAGATAGGTAGAACACATTAATAGAGACATTATAAAATGAGAAGGAGAATTTTGAGATTATTACAAATATTTACAGCATTATTCCAGTTTATAAAGATTTTACGTAGATAGGAAAGAATATGTGTGTTGGTAGGAAGGAAGGATAAGGGAGATGTTCAATGAAAGAGCTCCAAATTCACCACTTAGTAGTGTGTGTGTATAATCTTCAGAAACTAATTCAGCAGTACTTGACCAGATCCTAAAGGGTCTGTGAGTTCTTATTAACCATCTGGGATATTAATTCCCATGCATAAACTATGTTGTTGCATTGGATACTACTTTTAGGCATAAAGAAGACAATACTGATTGATAGTTTCTGAAAAAAAAGCTTTATGAAATAAACTGCCCTCTGAGAAATGTAGCGGCGTTGTAGTTGCAATACAAGTAGTGTTATTGGTATGTACCCAGCATGAAAAAGAGCAGTGCTTTTGCTGTGCTGCAGAATGAGGAGGCTTGTTAAAATAAGCCCTCCAAGTTCAGTTAACTAGTTCTTGGGCCACTTATTTTCCTCATTGTTGACCACTTCTTCATATATTTGTCCTAGTCAGCACTAGGCTCGTATTTCTTTTGAGAAATATGAGAACACGATTCTGTTTCTTTAATCTGTAGTCTTGCTTTCAAGCAGAATGCCCAGGAAATGTGTCCATACCTGTTCCACTGGAAGCAGACGTGATTTTTTCATGTTCTTTTTCTTTTTTTTCTTTACATAAGGTAGACTTGATCAGTGTTTATTTTGCGGCGTATCTCAGACACAAAACTTGATGTACTGGCACCTAGAACTTAATAAACTTTGTGTCTTTTTTCCTTTCTCCTTTTTAAGCACCTGATTGTCTAATTCTCTCAGCTTGGTATTTTCTCTATAAAATATTTATTTCTCTGTAGCTTTATATTTTAACTAATGTGCAATTGCTTTTTGCCTGGTTAAGCATTTTATGCTCTTTAATAATAAAATGAAATAGCAGTCAGCAACAGGAGCAAGATCTATAACTGAACATTTTGTTCTGACGGACCAGCTGAAGTAATGAGCCTTTGAAGCTTAAGTTTGAAGGCAGAATAATATATATATATATATATATATTTAATTTGTCTTTTCTTGTGGGAGTAATGGAGTAGTTGCCAGTAGAAGTTATTTTCATATTAAAATCTTTCTTCAAATCAGTAGAATATATTACAAGCATTAACTGAACTCCACAGCATGTTGAAGGGTTTTATTTCACCATTTTCTTTGCATGCTTTGCTCTTAATGCAAGGCATTCCTAAATTACACTCTGGGAAGGCTTTTGCTTTCCTGCCTCTGTACCATCCTAGGTCCTGACAGTGAGGTTTAAATTGCAGGATAGGAGCTTCAAATAGGGGTACATTTTAACCTCCCACTTTCATGAATTCCTCCGTTGCAGTCTGCAGGAGCATGTTATAAAGATGTATCAGCGATGGCTGTCAAACACACTTCAATCTGCAGTCAGTATGACAAGAGATGTATGAAAACTATTTTACATGACTTTTAAATTGCATCTTACTTTTGAGAGGTGCTAGGCACCTGCAGTAATTATCCCTAAGTGTATTTTAATGCAGCCTATCACACCTTTTGGTTAGCTTATGGATAAAACACAAATGAATTGCAGACAGGCTTTTATATTGAAATATTCCATCAATATGAAATTAATATGCTCCTTTATGTGACTTGTTGGAATTCATTATTAATTTAGTTTTTTAGTTTTATCTGCCATATGGGTCTCTATTGTTGTTGGATGCAGAATTCTTTTTTTCAAACTTTCTTTTATGTACTTGCAGTAGTGATTCTCCAATTACTGGTGGATTTGTTTTTTTAGAAACTTAAGGAAAATTAAATTTAATTAATGAAAAATGAGCCAGCTGCACTGACTGTAAGAAAGACTTTCTGTTAATTCATGTTGATTAATGAAGAACAACGCAGAATACTGAATAGTTTGGGGTAATAAAAGAACTTTGTGTGTTTGATTCAGAAGAAATGCAGAATCAAATGCATGAAATTTGGAAGACTTGTGCATTCATGGAACCTGGTTTTTTTATTATAAAATTATTTGTGAAAATGTAAGGCACACTAACCTTAAAATATTTTGCTGAGTTTAAAACATGCTGATCAACTGAGATACTTTGTGCAAGACAAGCTTAAATATAGAATAAACTCATAATGAAAAACTTAATTTTGCACAAGATTATGTTACTGGATACATAGGAGCTGAGGGGATCAATAATTAGTACCATCAGATCTTTAAAAGACAAAAGTCATAATGTTAAGAAATGTCCTATAGTCTTGTTTTTATTGCTTATGGCAAAAAAAATCTTGTTGACATTAGCAAATTTTGTTCAAGAATAAATAGAGAAATAAAACATATGCAATATATATAACTACCTGTTAAGCCAAAGTGATTATGTTCTCTTGGTGGCTTAACGCTAGTAAATTCTAATATTTTCATATGTATTTCTGGAAGGACAGTGTAGGAATGATATAAAATAAAATATTAAATATTAGCCTGTTGTGGTGAAGCTGTTAATTGAGGTGGAAGATAGTAGTTCAAAAACAAAATCCTTTTGTCTGAGTGAATTTTATGAAATGGAAATATGTGGTTTTCCACTTTAGAAATTCTACTTCCTTTTGAAAGGTATTTTTCAAACTTTACACAACATGCAGCTTTTCAGCTGGAACTATTGCTTCCTTTATACATTCTACCCTGTTTCCTTATGCTGTAAAATCTTTACCAGATTCCTTCCCCGTATACTTTCAAAGAGAACAATATTTTATGATAGTATCTGTGTTATATCCACCAATTACGTGTAGTGCAAATACCATCTCAGCACGAAGCAAGATAATGACTTTCCAAATAGGTCTGGCTTTAACTTTCCTCTGCCTCCCATGTTGCTGGCACTTGCTGTTATTTCAGGGAGTGTCTGTGTGGTATATGGGCAAGTAGGCAGAAGCAGGGGGTTTCGAGTTTTGATTTTTCTCTCTAACCTGGAGTAATAACATGAGAGGGTAACGAATCTAGTAAAGTCACTGTATTAATGTGACTACTCAATTTTGAGTTTTTGAATTCACAAATAGGGATGTGGACTTAGCACTGCATTAGTGGCACACATACATCCTACTGACAACTGAGTAGTCAGTTCAAAGGCCAGTGAGAAATCTAAGCCTGGGTGTTATCTGTGACAGGACAAGACCTGTGACAGGAACTTTCCTTTTCAGTGTTGATCTAAGATGATCAAAGTGTGCCTGTTCCTGAAGGTTACTTTATTTAAGCAAATGGCTGCACAGTCTGTTGCAAGGGGCTTGCAGGAACTTGTCTTTAGAAGAACGATTACACTTCTGCTGGTGGTAATCTGTAAATCTAACCCTGCTGTGAAACAGCAGCTGATGACAGCTCACCTGCTGAAAGTTCTCCCCATGGCAGCTTGGCAGGGTCCAGCTTGCTCCAGTTTGCATGGAGTTTTTGGAAGTGCTCTGCAGCCCTTTTGCAGGAAGGGGAGAGACAGGGAAAACTTCAGAGGTATTGTGTGTATTTAGCAGAGGGTAGGTGTTTGGCTGAGATAAAAGTTTCACGTCTGTGTAGTTCCTGCTTGATGAAGCAGCTAGTTCAAAGTACAGCATGAAACGTGAGGCACCTTTTCTCTGCAAGCCTGTCTTGCTGACCTCTGATAAGACAGCTTTTAATGAAGGTCCTTATTTCAACTATTGAACTCGACATTTGCAGTCCATTTAGTATGAATTTTGGTATCTCGGAATTTGCTTTAGTGAATTCTGGTAAAGAAATGCAGCATTCTGCTAGTGGCAGCTTTTTGAATCACGTTGTGTGACTGAAACCACTTGATGAACAGGAGAAGATGGGTTTGTTATTCGTCTGTGAAAGCAAGATTAAATCAATAGCGTTTCTGTGAAAAAGTACCTTTTTTTTTTGAATCATGATCAAGATTGCTAATGAGGACGTGACTGCAGTTCAAGCTAGTGCTCTGGTATGTATTCCTATAGTTCTGCTGTTTTTTTGTTTGTTTTTTTTTAAGTGTTGTCTGTTGGTACATATGATGTTGAATGCTTTGATATTTACTTATCTGAAGTAAGCTGTTAGTGATAGGTGCTTAAAATTGCTTTTTAAGCTGCTTAGGGAATAGATGCTTGGCTTGTAATTATATGAAAGTGATTTTCTGATATTGTGACCCATTTTGAAGGTTAAGGAATGGTTCTCATAAGAACTATGAAGGTTTGTAAAAACCGTTGGTCACTATACATGTTTTCTAAATGCAGAGATGTCAGTCAGAGCTCAGCAGAAATGTTCTGAATGCATTATATTCATACTTTGTTCAGAAGCATTTTGAAAATGGAAAAATTAAGAGTTTTAGAACTTCATTAACTGCTTCTATGAAATTTAGAATTGTTCATCTTAACTTTATATTGCAATTTGTGTAGCCAGATTGTGTCTTGATGCTAAGAAAAAAAATAGGTAAATAGGAAAGATGAAAGGAATTGTTTGTGCAAGTTGGCTGTTACAAAAGTGCATTTTGTTCTTCTACAGTAGTGGAAGCATGCCCTTTTTTATGACGTTCACTCCTGTCTTCTCTCTGAAGATTTTTTCCCCCTTTTTCTCCTTCTGTCTTGTGTTTGCGGTTGGTATTCCTTTGAGGGATATGATCTCTGACTTCTTCATCGTCTGATTCTCTGTATCCTGAGGAAAGCTGTTCTTCTGTTTCTCCTCCTTAGCAAACTTATCCTCAAAAGCACTTTTGTTTGACAAACTGATCCTCTTCTCCATTTCGTTCTTGGAGATACGTAATTCCACAGTGATCATCTTCAGGCAGTGGGTTATTCCGCAAGAACCTGTTCTTTGAGAAATATTAACAAATTAAGTTTCTTTTTCTCACTCATATCTTTAAATGTCTGATTTATACCATCTTCTGCAGTTGCTTCTTTAATATTCAATTCATTTACTCCATGAATTAAATGAGACTATTTCATACAATAATGTTTTCGAAGATTCCTTAAAAGAAGCCTGTGTGTTTCTGCATCCAGACATTTTTTTCTCATTTTCCAATAGACTTTTTAAAAAGCTTTTGCAGCCTTAGGATTCTTGCTGTAAACAAATTTACTGGGTAGGGCACAAATGTATGGTTTATATGATTTATATTTTTCTGTTGTCCTGTGATTCAAAGTTAATTGCAGATTAGCACAGCACCTCTTAAGTATCTGTATCATATAGGGATTCAGCTGTCTTCATATACTTGACCGGAGAAAATCTATAAAAGCTTAGAAACAACTTAAATTCAGCTTTAAAATATGTCTGTTGGTGCACTTTGCAAATATATGGTCCATTGTCACATCCTTTGCATATAATAAGGATTATTCTTCCAAAGAGCTTTTGTTTGCAATTTGTGAATTGTCTTGTTATGTATAACCTGCTAATTTAATATGTTAGTAACTTGTTTTGAAATAGTAAATATTCAGTCTTTTCGTATTTGTTTTGCTTTGTGGGCTGAGTTCCCTGGATAACTTTTCTAATATGCTCATTCTTAATGGAAATGTCTGTCACACTTTTAAGTGTGTGTTTGGGTTTTTTTGTTTTGTTTCAGGAAAGCCAAAGTCAAGAAATGTCTACCAATTTAAAATACCTTTCCTTGGGCATCCTGGTTTTTCAGACCACAAGTTTAGTCTTGACCATGCGTTACTCTCGGACACTGAAAGAAGAAGGACCTCGTTATTTATCCTCCACTGCAGTAGTTATTGCTGAACTTCTGAAGATTTTGACCTGTATTTTATTGGTCTACAAAGATAGTAGTATGTGTCAAATTTTGCACCAAGTAATTTTCCTAGTTGATGTTCTGTATTGTAGTGGCAACTGCAAAACATACATTTGAGCACAAGAATCTCAAAAAGAGTTTCCCATCTGATTAGGAAATAGTCTTGAGAAGACTCTAATCACACTTCACTTTTCAACATATTATGTAACATGTATACTTGCTGACTCTTTAAGGGCATGTGAGTACTAAGAAAGAATAAATTCCCACTAACAGCTTTGAGGCTTGTGTTTGCTCAGGCATTTTATGAAACCTCTAAGTAGCAACAGGAAGAGATGAACAGCTTTAATGTGTCCAAAGCAAGAATGATAATATGAAAGCCTACAATGAGCAGAGTCATGCGGATGTGCAAGGGAACAACAATTTCATTACTAGTTTTAAGTTCAGGAAAAGTTTTATTCTACCGTATTTCTTATTTCATACGTTGTACTGAATTTTCCAGATTTGACATATGTATCTGGTGTTCAGTGACTTAAAAAAAATCATTGTATATACTTAATTGTTGCTAATTCCATAAGCAATTAAATGTGCATATTCAAATGAGACTGCAGATAATGTTTGGGGTTTAAGTATAAGAAAATCGTAAGTGAGGCAAAACTGGTGATCTTTGATTTATGCTCTCCAAATATAGGATGATCGTTAGTATGTTTCACTTGAGATATTGTAAGTGATCATAGTTTTGGTATTCTAGGCTAGAGTGTTTGCATTTTTTTTAATAGCCTTATGAAAGCAAGACAAAGAGTTTGGTGTTTTGATAGCTATGATGGCTGTAAAAAGGAGTCACCAATTTTAAAGAACAGATTATAGCTACCTTTTGGTGAGGGGGCATGGAAGGGTTTGCATTTAGTGAATTTCTGTTTCTTTTATTGCTTCTTTTGATAGAGTGCAATTTACGGACTCTGAACAGAGTGCTGCGTGATGAAATTCTTAATAAGCCCATGGAAACTCTCAAACTTGCTATTCCATCAGGGATTTACACTCTTCAGAATAACTTGCTCTATATAGCATTGTCAAACCTAGATGCAGCCACATATCAGGTATCGTACATTTGACTTTCTCTACAGGTTTCAGACAAAAACATGAATATTGTGATAATAACTGTTTTGTGGCTTTTTTGTTTTTTTTTGTTGTTGTTTTTTAAGGTTACGTATCAACTGAAAATTCTTACCACAGCATTGTTTTCTGTGTTCATGTTAAGCAAAAAACTGGGTGTATACCAATGGCTTTCATTAGTCATCTTGATGACAGGAGTGGCATTTGTGCAGGTAAATATTAACAGGTATCTTGTATTTATTTAATATGTTTATTCAAGGAATGTGGATTTCTATAATGATTATGCAGCTTCCTGATTGTACCAACTTCATACGAAAACAACGTATGGCTGAATTGCAAATCACTGCTGGCCAAGGCTGCCAAATAGCAGATAGGGCTCGCAGGCAAAAGGCAACACCTCTTTGTGGTCCTAGTACTCTACTGGGAATGAGATGGCATCCAGAGTAACCTGACAGTCACTCAGATAACACTGTTTACTAGCACGTTTCTTCTGACGTCAAGGGTTTGGGTTGGTCTTGTGATGTATTTCAGCACAGCAAATTCATCTGAACCCGTTCAGGGGTGAATTTGACTTCTAAGGTACAGCAGTTTGTGCACTATGGAGGGCAGGACCATGAGAACACAGACTCTTGTAAGAACTCTGAGCATATCCTAGAAATTATTTTTTAAAAATTTTAAATAAAATATTCTACATTTTGTAATTATTTAAAAAAAAAAAAGTTCGGAACCAAAAATTCTGATGATACCTATCAGACTTTTTGTATGTATTTTTGTTCACAGCATTGTGTTTTACTCTGCAAGGTTTAGGTGTATGGTGAGATTTTGCTTCACAAAATTCAGATTAGTTTTCTGCATAATCACTGAAGAGAAGCCTATTCAAATGACAGTTTGTCCTGTCTTAACGAGTGACTTTTCTGACTGTTCCTGTATTTCTGTAAAGAATGGGTAGGTAACTTTTAGATGGCAAAGGTTGGCAACTTGCATCACAAGGATAAAACTCATCTTGGGAGTGAGATACAGTGCCAGGTTATAAAATCTATTGGATAAATTCCTGACCTGTGTAAGCAAATGGAAATCCCCTCAGTTAAGGCCCAGTTTTACTCCCTACTAGAATGCAGAAAGAAAAATTGTGGCTTTGCATTTCTTTAAAAATATGTATGATGCAAAATGTAAAACTGTACTAGCATCTGACTGTTTCTATTAATTGTTACTATTGCTAGAAAATAAACTTGCATTTATTGAATGCTCGTGACTTAATTCTATGAGTGAAGTTTAACTGTTTTTGCATCCAGTGGCCTTCGGACTCTCAAGCAACATCCGCTAAGGAACATTCAGCTGGATCTCAGTTTGTAGGCTTGATGGCAGTTCTTATAGCATGCTTTTCTAGTGGATTTGCTGGGGTTTATTTTGAGAAAATTTTAAAGGAAACTAAACAGTCTGTGTGGATCAGAAACATTCAGCTTGGTAAGTTTGAATTTAGTACTCTCTTAGAGCAATATTACATTTAGAAGAATTAAGATGCAAGGTGCAATTAAGATGCAATTAAAGTGCAAAAAAAATCATAAAAATGTCAAAAAATCACTGTTCTTCATAAATGAACTCTTAAAGCTTGGAATAAGACTATTGTTAAGACTGCTAGCTGGAATTGTGAGAATTCCTTTTTGATCTGATCCTAGTTCTTGATTTAACTTGATTATTTATCTGACAATATTTTGGAAAATGCAGGAGCATTAAAAATTTGTTTTCAATTCAATACTTTGAGACCTTTTTCTTTTTCCTTTTTTTTTTCCCCTCTCCATACCTGGGTAGCCAGTTTTTATAGGCAGGAACTTTTATTAAAACTAGAAAAATAAAGCCTTGCTTCATGTGCAAACAAAACTGAGATAAGAACTTGTGATTATTTCAGTACGAAGGTGAGTGCTGTACTACGAGCCTTATCTACTGTGCACTTACTTACAAAGAAATATCCTCTACTTGTAGTTCTGCGTCTAGAAGACCTAGGCATTAATAGTGGCAGAACAGGTCCCTTTTATTGAATGGGCTTTTCCTCATCCCAGACCAGTTTGCCCAACTTATGATGTTGGAAATCCCATGAAAGTAGTATCCTTTGTTCTTTTGCAGAAGTGGTTGTTGGAGCTGCCCTTCTTCCTTGAGCGGATTCCCTTTAGTTTTTCCCCTGTAGGCAAAAATTACATGTGTGTGTATACATATATGTGTACACACACACATATATATATATATATAATAGTTAAATGAATGTTTTTGGCAGAGTTTGATCTTTCGAACACCTTGATACAGACTCTTGATCAAATCCACAGTGGTGTGGAATTAAATCATGAAGATCTTTTATCTTCAGCCTGAAGATCAGGGCTGTGTAATGAATGTAAGGAAGTACCATAATAAAGCTTTGAAGCTTTTTGAATCAATCAATCAATCTTTCACTTTCAGGATTTTTTGGTAGCATATTTGGATTGATGGGTGTATATATTTATGATGGAGAACAACTGTCAAAGCATGGATTTTTTCAAGGATATAATAAACTCACTTGGATAGTTGTTGTTCTGCAGGTAAGATTCCTAAAATCACACATTACTATGAAGGCACTTGGAATTTATTTTTCAATACATGATGGGAGGATTAATGTTTGCCCATAAAGCTACTGAAAATTCTGTAGTCAAGTGTGATCCATCCCTACTAGCATAAACCTCAAAATACATAAAAATTGGGAAATCTTTGAACTAATATTATGGTAAAGTGTTGTGTAAAATGAAAGTGCACAGTATTATCTTATTTAAAAAATACTAGAAATATTTAAAAAGGAAAGTATGTGGGTTTTTTTTCCTTCTGTGGCTAAAAATGTGCATATTAGCATTTTCCACTGATTTAATGTTGGAAATATAATCAGTGTTTTCTTCATTAGATAATGAAGAACTTTTGCAATAGTTACCTTCAGCAGTAACACATGAAATAAATTTAATGCTTCTAGAGATAGACAAGAAAGCTTTCTCTAAAGTAAGTGCGTGTTGTTAAAATAGATGCTCTCACTGAAATCACTGGGTTGCATATCTGAACCTCTGTTTTTTTCAGGCACTTGGAGGCCTTGTGATTGCTGCTGTTATAAAATATGCAGACAACATTTTAAAGGGGTTTGCAACATCTCTCTCTATTATACTGTCAACACTGATTTCCTATTTTTGGCTGCAAGATTTTGTCCCTACAAGGTAAGTGTTATTTTCCACATGTACAGGGGCGAGGAGAAGGAAACACCTCTATGCTTACCAGACCCAAGAGCAAAAATAAAAACAAACAGGGCACACTTCATAAAAGGCTTAGATCAAACCTTTACATAAAAGTCTAGTTTTATAATATGCCATAATTTATGCTTAATTTTGCAGTACAGAGGGGAATGTTTAGTTTTCTCTAAGATCCAGTTCCCCACAGTTCAGAAATAATTGAGCCTTTCTGCTCAGTTTTTATTGAACCTGTCTCTTACTGCTTCTGTGTTTTAGTTCACTTTTCCTTCTCTTCTTTTTTTTCCTGTTTGTTCTTTAATGTATCCAAATTACTTTTCCTCCATGCCCATTCTCCTTTGTCATATTCATCTTGTATTTTTTCCTGTTCTAGTTGTTCTTATTCTAACCTTTATTTTAATGCCCTCTCCCCCCCTTTTTTTTTGTCCTCTGGGTCTTTCTTTGCTTTTATGAAGTCACTTCTCTTTAGGTCAGATACCTGGCTGGGATGGGCATAGCTCTACTCTTGAACTCGGCTCCCCCCTGCTGGCCCTTCTGGATAAGTCTGTGGAAAAGGGATTGCCTGCCTCTAATTTCCTCTTTATCCTTTAAATAGAACTATCTTCCGCAACTCATCTCATCACAAAATGCCTTACAGCTCAACAGTGATAGGGATGATAATCCTGCTGTATGGTTTTCCATCCATGCTCAAGCAGTTTCTGAAAGAGATAATTGCAGTTAGACAAATGTGGAAATTATAACACAGGATTTGGTTGCCCAAGGATATCCAGTAGTCCAAAGACTTCATTTTTTTTTCTAAAGCTAATACCATATTTATTAACTAAAAGATTTAACCAAGAAAGAAAGTAAAAGGATACGTTTCCAGGCCCCATACACTGTGATTCTGTGATTTTTGTGGATCTGATTTTAGTAGCTATGTGCAGTACTGTTTTATACATTGATAGATTCTGAAATGATGACTTTTATGTTGGCAGTGCCTGTTAATGTATGTAGTATAAAAATAATGTGCCCACCCTCAGATATATAAATAGGATCTGCTGTTGCTTGTAATGGACCTACATACACTCCGCATACTCAAATTGTAAAAATATTTTGAGTAACTTTAACTTTTTTTTTTCCCTGATACACGGAAACAATTGTATCTAAAAATTGTATTTCAAAGTTTGTAGGAGTTTATTTTAATATACAAAAAAGGGCATTAGAACAATGGACGATATAAAAAGAAGCATCTTAGATTTAAGACTTTAAATTATAAGTAGCCTGCATTTAACCTGTTAAGCAAAAACAAATATGGAATGTGATAAGATTTATTTAACTATAAATTAATATATTTATTCAACTGTAAGTTAATAAGTAACTTGTTAGCCCTCCAAGCATGTTCAAAATGAAATCATTGGTAAATAATTGAATGAGATGAAGCTAAGTAGCAGCATGTAAAACTTGACTCTATCTTATTTAACAAACTTGAGATGTCTCATGTAACAGAGTAACAACTTGAGTTTTTGGTCAAAAATAATCTTTATTACGTTGCATATACGCATTGAATTTATTTGAGCAGAAACTGTTTAATTTCAACAAATATTTCTGATTGTGGTAGTATATATAAGTACCTGACTGCTCAGTTGTATTGCAGTGAAATATGAAATAGGTCGTCTGTGTTCTCTGAGGGCTTAGGGAGTAATTAATGCTCTCTGTTCTATAGTGTTTTCTTCAGAAAATGAAATTGTTAACACTAAGCATGTCTTGTCAACAGGTTTCTTTTGTAAAATGTAATTTATTGTTTAATGGCTTTGGATATTATATTTCAAACCTGCAGTTACCTAAATACTGTCAAACTCCCTCATGTGTCAATACACAAGATTCTTTAATACTTCTTTGTTGTATAATACTTAGATATCTGCCAAAATACAAGATCTCATGATTTGCAGACTGGTTCTTTGTGTCACAACAAACCACTGCTCGCTAACTTCAAGCTTCTTTTGCATGCATTTTGCATAGTGCTTTGGTCAGAAGAAGGAAATATGATTACTTTGATTATCCCTTTGGTAGTTGCTTCATGAAACTATATTTTTTGTTTGATTTTTTTCATAATATGTCATAATTTTGCCTATTTTTCCTGTATCATTCTCCAGGAAAATAAGTCCAAATAATTAATTTATTATAAGTTGGACAGATGCTAGTTATCCTGATTATATTCTCATGGAGTAATAAGAAAGGAAAAGAAAAAAATGTCCTTTCTTTGAAACTGTATTACTTAATAACACTTCCTCAACTAAAAATAGCTAACTTATTTTTCTTCCTGTTTTATTCAGTGTCTTTTTCTTCGGAGCCATTCTTGTAATAGCAGCTACTTTCCTATATGGTTATGATCCAAAACCTGCAGGAAATCCCATTAAGGCATAGCAGACTTCCTTACCAAGAAGACCATGTATTGGGTGTCTTGCTGACAACGGCATATGAGAGATGGCATTGTGCACTGGAAGGAGAGGATTACTGCCCTCAATCTAATGAAGAAGTGATTATGAGTAGTTCTGAACAATCAGAGGAGTTAGGATGGATGATGATACTGTATGTAACTGATGAAAAAATGGTAGGGGAAAGCCCAGTGCAAGTCGCTAATAAAAACTTGAAGGGAACAAAAAGTTTCCAGCAAACTGCAATTAGGGATGTTTACAGCTTTGACTGGAATTGCATCAAAAGAATTTACTGTTTTGACTGCTGCAGAGAAGTTCTATGCACTCTTTGAAAGAGCACATGACAACATTGTCAGATTGTATGTTTTTGCAGTTTGACTATATTTAATCATAGTAAATATGTTTTAAACTGTCTATTTACATGAAATCAATTGAACACACATCATAGTTCTAAAGTGATGATTCTAATTAGATATTCCTTATTAAAACTGAAAATTGGAGGTATCATTGAAAGACCTTTTCACAATATCACATATCTTTATATTTTTAGAAGGCCGATTAATAACAGAAATCTGTGTTCTGTTGCATATGTAAAACTATTATGAGAATGATAACGTCCTCAGCTGAGTGCACAAGGGGGGAAGTTCAATATAAGAGCTAGAAGACTGTGACGAAACTCCAGCCTTCTTCCGGATGGCTGTTAGTGTTCCCAAGGAGCCAGGAACCCTGGAAACACAGGCCCAGGGTTCCTGCAGTAACTGCGCACGGTCGTTAGGGTTGGGATGGAGTGCTTGCCCAGATATAATGTTCATTCCGTAATTTTTTTTTTAAATTATAAATCAGCTTGTTGCTAGAACCTTTAAAAGTAGTTTTTGTACTTTAAATATTCTCAAGGATTTTTTTTAACTTTTTTTTAACTACAATTTTTAAAAGGCCCATAATAAATGCATTACTGTCATCTGTAATGGCTCCATATGGTGTCATTACATATATCGTCTGTATGCTGTATAATACTGTATTACAGAGGGATGCTGTTTTGGGGTTTTTTGTCTGTTTTTAGTGTGGTGTTTACTCACAAACTCTCCAAGGCTGTTTCAGTGCACTTGTACGTAATGGCTTAGAGTCCTTGAGCCAACAAACCAAATGGATTCTCTAGAGCTATTCAGTCTAGTGGTAGAATTACTTTAGTGGAAAAGTAATTTCTGCAAGAGGTTAATATAAAAGCATGCTGTCCTTTTGTTTTGGACCAGTCAAACAAAAACAACAACAAAAAAACAAACCTAGAATGAGTCAGGCTGTTAGGTACATGTTACTTGTTTAAAGTATTTATATACAGCCCGTCAAGCCAGAAGCACACACAAAAAACTGGCAGAATTAATGAACACAAAAAACTGTCTTATTCATTTGTTTCCGTGAGGCCTTTTCACAACAAGTGTTAATGTGACTTCTTATTCATGTGTTACACTTGTGAAGATATGAATTTATACAAAAAGATATCAACAAACTCCTAACTGTAGAATGACAGATGACAAAAATGTTTAGTTCCTTTTTATTTATTCTATTCATGCTCTTTCTCTCTTTTTTTTTTTTTTTTGTATGTTGTTGAAAACATTGCGATGAGAGATGGTTTTTAAAGTTTGTTGAAATGTATCAGTCAGCTTTCCACAGAGGACTGGGTGTTTTCCAGAGCATCTCAGTTATGTGTTGACAAGAGAGCATTTCCTAAAGTGCTGCGAGTGCGACTGGTTGTTTTTTGTTTTTTTTTTGTTTGATTGATTGTTTTTTTGTTGTTTTTGTTTTTTATGAAATACTGTAATTGCAAAAGAAAAAATTACATTTATTATCAGCCAAGAACACTTTCTTCTGCTGGTGCTAGCAAGGTTTTGAGATCTATGCTAAAGGTTTCTTAAGCTTGCTGAATTGTAGATCTACCCTGTCATGCCATAGCTGCAGGAGCAGTACTAATAGGTGGTCAAAATTCTCCAGATCACTTTAGCCATTTACCTTAGTACTGAAGTTTTCACCTGTAACATTCAGTGTGGCAAAATCTATCACAAATTACATATAGTCACTTTATTGAAATACACTATGTGGTAAAATGTATGCATGCAATAGTGGCTTACAGTGCTGCTATACAAAAAGGGAAGGGAGTAGGAAGGGAGTATTCTTCCCTTCCACTGTAGGAGGGGAAGAATACCTAATTCTCTGAAATGAGTAGGAAATGTTGGTAGTGATTATTATTTGAATTGGAGTTTGGGATGAACAGTAATACTTATTCCGTGAGTCACAGTAGTGGAAATGTTCAGATGTTATTAATTGGTAACTTACGTAAGAGTTTGTCTTTTTTTTTTTTTTTAAGAGAGAGGAAGAAAGAAGAGGCAGGCACTTTGAAACCCGTTGCACAGTAAGGAAGCAAATGGGCTAAAAATCATCACAGTGCTGGAGCACAGTTAGATATAACCCAGTTTTAATATGCACCAGTGTACTTAAGCATCAGTTTAAAGAAAAAAAAAACACAGAAATATATTCTTTTTGTCTTTGAACAGAATAAGTCACCTTTGGAAAACAATATACCTCCTGTATTAAGGAACAGGATTTACAATCCTGTCTTTAGAGCGGTGACTCCTCTACTTTTTCAATGCACAGTTTCATAAATTTTCCAGTAGAGGCGAAGATGCCTTTAAGAAGTTGTATGTGTTGATGACATGAAGGTTGTATGAATTGGCATTTTTTTAGCTGCTTCTCCTTTGCCCTTTACGAATACGCTTAGGCCCTTCAGGTTGAAAAGCAATGTACTAGAAAGAGGGAAGCCCATATGTGCTTTCTGGGAAGAGAAAGGATTTAAGGAGAATTTTCTGATCTCATAAACCTCAGGCATTGGCTGTGAGAGGCTGCATGCATTTTTTTTTTTTTTTTGTTTCAGATACCTTCAGATCTAGGGCAGGGAGGCAGTATTAATTCTACTACTCATTAACTAACCAAAGATGTACAGCTAGTACGAAACACTTGGAAAGAGGCAAAAGTAGGAGTCATAACTTTCCAAAAACAAACCTGACTTTCTGAACTACTTTTCTGAAAGAAAAAAAAATAGACCATAGATTTGTTAGTTTAATTGTATATTTAGGAGGCTAACCTATGCTTATCATAACTTTATTTAAATATTTGTAAAGTTATAGCAAGATATTTATTTGCAATAACTTGAATTTTTTTTTTAAAGACTAACAAAATGGCAGTACTGGTATTTATTGAATACTTGGGTATTTGGTAGTTTTACCTGAGAATCTCTGGGATACATGGTAAATGTTCAAATAGCTGTCAGACCTATGTTGAAAGCGAAATAAATCAATTTAGTGATGAAAAATCTTGATGGTAATAAAGTAAGGCAAACCCTTCCTTAAAAACTGTATTTTGTGCTATTAAAGAGGGGCCAATAGGTTTTTTTTTTTTTCTCAAAGAATTTGGATTAATAGTACTGTCAATTTAACTTAATTATTTTAGGCAAATTGATACAGCTTCTTTTTTGTTTGCTCTAATAATGATGGGTAGATTAAAGTTCTACTTCCTACTTATGCGAAGTAGTGTCTGTTTTTACTATTTTATTTAATTTTTCTTAAATCAATACTATTTTGATAGCATATACTTGTGTTTCACTTACTCCAACAGTCCTCTTGATTTTTTTTCTTTTTTTTTTTTTGAATATATAGTTGTTTTGTGTTCCTAACTTATTTTTGTGGGTATAATTGAAAAGAATGTAAAGGATTTTGTTAAACTGCTTCAAAATGGATACATTTCTTGTGTTCTTTACTCTTTGTAACTTCCATCTTGTAATACATTTTCTTATCAACTATTCATGTTCTACTTAAGCAATCACTTTCAGATTTGAACTCATTATTAATTTCTGCCCTGTTGACAGGTTTTCTTGCTAGATACCATGATTGGGGAAGATTGTTATTCTTTTTCTTTTCTTAAATGCATTTTTTTGTAAAATTGAGGTTTTAAAAAAATGAAGGTAGTGTTTGTCTATGGTATGGCATTATATCATGTATGTGGGTAGTGTATTATTATGTTATATTACCTGTTATGTTCTGTTGTTGTAAATCCAAGAAATGTTTCCTTGACTTTGTTTCTATTGTCTTGTTTTTAATTTTTTTTTTCTACAGGAAGTTATACCAGAACTAAAGAGTTTCACTCTGTCCAGGTGAGCTCATTAGATCTAGATATCTAAAGAGAAGACTGTGTTGTGTGAAAAAAACACAAGAGGAAATGCAACAACTACATTGTTCTGATTAGGTGATATCTTCTGCCCCAGTTACTGTGAATCCGGATTTCGTACTTAGTTGAATTTATAGCTTCTGATTATTTCTTACTCAGGTAAATTAGTAACTCTTTTAGAAGTAGAAAAAAAAAATCTGTCCAGAGGTGCAGTAACAGTGCTCATTCTTGAACAAGTGCTGCACATTTGCATCCAAGAGTAAAATTTGCCCATGACAGTATTTTTTTCAGCCTTCTGTCCATGTTCTGGCAGTGATTAACTGTAATGATCTCATTAGCACTTTATAGCTGAGTAGCAGTTGTTTATATGCTGAACCTGTATCTGTGTGCTGCCATGAATAATGTTTTTAAATTTTTCTTTATTGTCAGTATATTTTAAATGGCATTTTAAACATATGAGCCCAAAAATAAATTATATATTCATACACTGTTGAAAAAAAAGTATTCATAGGAATTTTATATGTTAATGTTTTCATGTGTTTATGCTATATACAATTCTAAGATATAGTGTTTCCCAGGAGTTTGGAAACAATTTCTTTTCCAGTATGATACTAGTGAATCACAGAATGCAGTCTGCATGATCTAATTTGGTGTTCTTTTATCCATAATGGGGTAAAATACTGTATATCTTTCCTTAAGTGCAGATAAGGTCACTTACGATAATATACAAACTTAAGCACCAGCTTTACTGGGAATGATTTGAGATCTTTATAAATTGAGAAGGTTGCTTTTAGGCATATATTAGAAAAAAGTAAAACCTAGGTAGCGTGAAAAAAATGCTTTATTTAACTTTTATTATTCCAGAACATTCTGGGGGGCTTTTGGGGAGGATTTTTTGTTTGTTTTTTATTTTTTGCTATAGCTCTGCATAAAGAGCTCTGTCCAAAAAGGCTACAGTTAGTTTTTTGTTAATGGTATGTTTTAACTTAAAACTTACTGGATTTTGCCAGAAACATATTTTTGTCTGAGGCAGGCTTCTTTTTGACCACTGTATCGTGACCTCTTGTGAATTGTATTCCAGCATATTCCTGTGGCTGTGTCTGCGGGCTCTTCTGGCCTCAAAACCCTCATCTCCTTGTTCAGGAATAGGGTTTTCCTACTGGTCGGTAGGGGGCATCTGATCTAATTTCCCAGGGTAGGTGGGAGGCCAGAGAGTTTCCAAGTTTGTTATTCCTACCTTGATTTTGAAGTGCAAAGTTTGCTGTCTGCATTGTGACAGAGAGCAGGAATTACTTTGTGTGTTTACGTACACAGGCTGCGTAGTGCACGAGAATAACTGGACTTCTGAACAAAAATGTGTGCTGTCAGCTGTGCAGTCTGTGCCATCTGATGCCGCGCTGCCTCTACTGAGGGGTTCCTAGGAGGAGCGCGTTTGTGGCACCAACACGTGCACTTCTGTACAACTGCAAATATACTGTGCAAATTTGCCTAGGGAAGTTTTTCAACACAGAGGTCTTGATGTGCTCACTGCCCTCTTTTGCAGTCATCAGTATTGTACGGGGCATGTGTTGCACTGCATGTGGCAAGTAGATGTTTCGCTAACACAGCTCTGTTACAGTAAGGCTTGTTTGTTGTGCCTTAGATTTACTGT